AATTGACAGTGAGTGAGACAGTAACAGTGACGATGACAGAAACTGTGAGAGAGACAGTAACAGTAACAATGAAAGCTATTGACAGTGAGTGTGACATGAACAGCGTCAGTGCCGGTGACCATGACAGTGAGAATCGTACTGATAGCGAAAAATTTATCTTAACTTTTAATTCAGAGGTTACTTGACATGAAGGCTTCACGTAGCTGATTTTCTATAATGCCTATTGCCCCTGCGTCTGACAATCCTCACACAAACTTAATGACTATTTTTTTAACTTCATGTATTTCTTGGCGAACCAGGTTTTGAATTTTGATAACTAGGCCACAGGCTCTCTAAATCTTTCCCACGACGGGTAACGCTCCATCAAACTGGAAGAACTTCTTCTACTCCGTGACGAAGGAATGTCTGCGGCTGGCTGTAGGAATGAATGCTTTGTTTGATCTCTAGATCGTCATCTAGATCACCATCTTTGCTTAGGCTGACTGAGGGCTGGAAGCGTAGTCTAGATAATAAAGAGATCGTGGCGGTTACATCAATGGATTTGTCAAAAGCTTTCGACACCGTACCTCCTGCTTTGCTACTAGCGAAACTGAAAGCGTATGGTTTGCATGAATCCAGCTGTGCCCTTATCGGTGACTACTTGACGGATAGAATGCAGTGAGTGAAAATTGGTGATACTCATTCGGATTGCATGAGCGTGAAGCGTGGCGTGCCTCAAGGCAGCGTCCTGGGAACCATGTTTTTCAACATGTTCCTCAATGACCTCATCTTTCACATTAAGTCTGTAAAACTAAACACTTATGCTGATGACTGCCAAGTGCACACATCTAACGTAGACCCAGTAGCCTTAGAACAGCGGATCAATCATGATGTACAAATAGCAAACAAATGGTTCGAAGACAATGGGATGAAAGCCAACCCCGCTAAACACCAAGGGATGGTTCTTGGCAAAACCGATTACCCTTCTCCTTCTCAACCACAAGATGCCTAGAACTTTTTGGAATAATTCTTGATAATGAACTTAATTTCAAGGAACACATATACTCTGTATGTAAAAAAAACAAAAACAAAATCGGTTCAGTGTCTTCAAAAGATTTGGCAAACTTATTTCTACCGAAATTATGCTTCGGCTTTATAAAACGTTTATGTTACCCCATTTTCACTACTGTTCAATGATATGGCACTTTTGTAATTCAGAGGACTCTGTTAAACTGGACATCTTAAATACACGTATTTTAAGATTTATTTTAAATGACTGGGACTCGAACTATGATGATCTTTTAGACAAGGCAGGTATGTGTGGTTTAGCCAACAGGCTCCGGTTGTTCAAAGGGCGGATAACGCTATCCAGCAGATAAATCGCTATCCAGCGGATAAGTGTTACCAAAACGTACTGCGCTCTCCACCGGATAGAGATTTATCCAGTGTATAGCGTTATCCATCCTTTGAACAACCGGGGCCAGGAGGATACAAAATATGATGATTTGTATATTCAACTGTCTCCATCTTGGTAAATATCCGTGCTATTTGAAACAACTGATCAAGCTACGATCTACTGCTTACTGCCTAAGGGGCACCAATATTTTATCACTTCCTAAGCCGTTTACTACCACATATGGTCTAAATTCTTTTAGCTATTCATCTGTTAAGTACTGGAACTCCCTCCCTGACCACTTTAGAAAGACTGTAGACTATAGTGGATTTAAGTGCAAACTGTTAGTGCACGGTTTCTGTTAATATTACATTAATATTACATTATATTATTATATTAATGATTATTATATTATATTAGGAATTATTTTTTCATCTTTTTAGCCTTGTTCTTGCTGTAATTTTTAAAATTAGCAATTAGGATCGGAGATACTAGCTTGTACGTTCAGTTTGATTGACAGTTGCGGAATTCGGCGAAGGGACTCTAGTATTCCCTGAACTTTATCAGTTGACCAATAGTATCCCAGCAGTGCTGGATGTGTATTTCTTTATGCCGGACTTACTACGTATTTCGCACTGCAAGTAAATGTCACGGAAAACAATAGCATTCTGCGCGATGTTACACTGAAATCCGAGGATACATAAAGCTTATGTATGTATGTATGTATGTATGTATGTATGTATCATCTCAATTCAATTTGCTGAAGTGCGGGATTGAGTCGCCAACACTCTTCCTCCCTCGCCAAACACTTGTAACCTTTAAGCCATTTGCTGCATTTACTTCCTTGTTGAAAGTTCCCTTCTAACTTCATCTGATGGGTTGAATTCCCCGTTCACCATTTTCTTCGAAAAACTGGCCCATTATCTCTGATTTTTCAGAAAAATCAGAGTTGTCACTACATGAAAGAAGAAGGCTAAGAAACTGAAAAAACGAATGGAATTCTTGACATGTGATGGATGCGAAGATTAATACAAAAAAGAACTACGAGAATCTGTAGATTTGCAGTACACACTAGAGTACAGGCTTTTCCTTCGATGGAAACATGATATCTAATAAAATTAAGAAGTGTCGGAAATTTCTCAGCTGTGTTTGAGAGCCGGGTGAAAGGAATTGTCAGCCGTTTTAAATTGAATTAGCTCCTCTCTGGATGAGGAGGTAGCACCGATGTAGTCGTCAATGTAACGACCGTAGAGTTTAGGTTCGGGGCCGTTGTAGTGATTGAAAAATTGGTGTTCGATATAACCTACGAAAAGATTGACGTAATTTTGGTTCCCATGGCTACTCCATTAATTTGCTTTTAAAAGTTGTCCCCGAGTGAAGCAATTGAGAGTCAAAACCAGCAACGCTGGGCGAAGTAGTGTTTAAGAGGTAGGTTCCTTACCAGTATACGTCGATAAAAAATATGCGTGATTACCAGGAGACGTTCATCATTGGAATGATCGTATAAAAAGATGTGATATCCAGAGTTAAAATAAGTTTGCCTACGCCCAGGAAATTAAAATGGGAAAAATTTCAAGGGCGTTTTGGCTGTCTTAAATGTATGATGGTAAAGATATGACAATAGGTGCCATAATTTTGTTTAAAAAAGTTAGTTATGACAACTTACTTACAGAGATGATGGATCGACCTGTGGTGTTAGTGGTTTTTAGGTAAAAAGTAAATACACGAAGTTTTAGGAGTGGTAATGGTGAGATTTGTCGTAGTGGCCGGCAATTCTATTGCCATAAGATGGTTAGTCGTGTTTTTGACGATGATTTGGTTAGTGGAAGTGAGAACTTTGTCCATTTTTTTCCCGAAAAGGGGTGCCAGAAAGTTAACGCAAAGCTTTTTTTGGTAGAGGTCGGCCCGCTAGGCGACTAAGGCGCTGCCTTTGTCGGCCGCTTTGATAATTAGGTCTTTGCGCTTTCATAGACTTTTAAGTGCCGTCCACTCTCCCGAAGAAAGGTCGTAAAATTTTGCAGTTGCGATTTAATCTAAGTTTTTTAGTTGCCGTAGAAGGCAGTAAGATGTAGTCAGATGTCAGTGAGAAGCAAAAGCAGGAGAAGTAGCCGCAGTTCACCATGAGTTGCAGTTGACCGCAGTTAACCATAAGTTGCTCTGAACTTAGTTTCCCCCATCATTATGACCCAACACGTTTTGGTTGAAGACTTGCGAACGTATAGCTTTAATGAACATGACGTTTTACAAAAAAATATGTCGCCTATCTGAAGGGAAGAATTGATGTCCACGAGCTACTGCTTTTTTACTTTCTTGTCCGCAGAGTTTAGTTTCATTGCTTCCATTAATTTTTGTCGTTCAAGCTCGGTTTCCTTCCTAATCTCTTCCATTTTATCAGCGACATCCTCACTCGGTGAGCTGTGTAAATTGGCTGAATTGTCTAAGATTTGATCTTCCACGTTGGTGACATCAACGGCTGCAGGATGGGAAGAGAAAATTTGTAAGATTCTGTTGCTTTGAGTGTGCTTATGAATTCTGTATAAAGTGTTAGCTTTATCGCCACACATATTAGCAGCAACCGGGCGAACAAAAAACACGACATACAATTTAATGAATGATGTTCCATAAAACGGAATAATAACTGAGAGACTTCGACCGCCCTGATTTGCCAAGTACTATCATTCATTGCACTAGTAAACCCATAGTTTAAAAAAGCAGTAGACCTCACCTTCCATCAGTTTATTGGCGTAATAGGCCACTCGGGATGTCGGGAGAACACTCGAAAAGTTTGTAAATCACTTGCCTCCTGCGCGTGACTTACACACTTATCTCGTGTTTTCTAAATATCCTGCGCGGGTTATTATGCCGGAAAACCGATAAGGAGTGCAGTTTGTTACTTGAATACCCAATACTCAATCAGCAATGTGGTGGAAAAAACCCTTCCGCTGCAGTGACTCGTATTTCCGAAACGCTCCTATATTGGCCCCGATAAAGATGCTAATTATTGCTAGAAATAAATAAATAAATAAATAAGATTTTTAAAGCATTCTTACGATACATTCTTGCACCATGCCTTCCAAGAAACATTGATCCAAGATGATTGTGTCTGTACATATCAAGAGCGTGATTCATAGAGCGGAATCCTGGATTCTGTGGAGGTATTATTGGTCGTGGAATCATAGTTCCAGTGACAGGCTCCTGATACATCCCATCATTTGGATCTGCGAGAAAAACTGGTCCTGAAACCTGCATATGAGGCCAGTGAGTGTGATAACCATGGTGAAGTCCCCAGGGTATCATGGGATGGTAGCTCGGATGAGAGTAAAAGCCATGAAATGTCGCGTGGGAGACGTAAGGAAACAAATGTGAGATGTGAGGTTCGGGAAACGATGGATATCCGCGATGCAGAGGACTTGGTATTCCAGTTGGTCCAACAAGTAACTCATTTTCTGCATTTGCAGGGGGAAGGTAAGGTCCCTCAAGTATTGATGTCGCCACAGGTGGGACAGCGACGACTTCTTGTCGTCGGTATAAACTCGGATGAGACTTTAGAGGGTGTTCGGGTGGTTTCCCTTGGATTTTGGTGATAGTTACAGTTGGAAACGCATATGGCTCAAAATCGGACCAGTTATGAGTTAGCAAAACCCGAAACTAGGGTGATTCAGTGCATTTCATGCTAACAGCAAAGCAAAGAATTTATTTTTAATTAGACTACGTTTCTGGGTCATTTTCCCGATGCTTGTCACAAATTGTTTGCTTAGTCGAACGAAGGTTGCAAGATTTTAAGAGGGACCAAGGTCGAGCCCTTTTATCTCCACCTTACCTGTTTTTCTGGACGAGGCATAGATAAAAGCTTTCATTGTTATCGTCCTTATTGAAAAATCTAAACTTACTCTGCAAAATACAAAGACTAATAACGAACCATTTTTTAGGACCAGTGAAGGTGCACAAATATCTATCGAGCACTTTACTTGTTGGCAATGACATGCGCTATGTCTCTGTGAGGGGGAAACAAGACGATTGCAACGAAGTCTTGCAGGTTAAAAACTTCGCACCGAAAATTTATCATAATACAGTGTGAGAACTTCTCGAGTTTCTGCCTGTTATGAAAAAAATAAATCTGACCTTACCTGTTGCTGGACGAGCAAACACCTCTTGGCGAAGAACGTTAACTAGTATGAGAAGTCCACGTGCAAAAGCTAGGTGCATTTTTAAAATCGAAGTCAAGTATTTTGATTTGCTCTAACTTTTTGTCCCTCCTAAAAATATTTTTACAACGGAAAATGAACCCTTAAAGTTACTTAGTTTGTACTCGCCACCAGTGAAATTTGTCAAAACAAAGGCAAAACATATCAGGTTTGAGCAAATAGGACCCTTTCTCAGATATTACTCAAATTACTCAGCCACATCGTCACAGATTTTAAATCTAAATTGAGCTCTTTTTTCCAGAAATTCTCAGATCTGTTGCCGAATAGTTAAAGAAACTTCGCCAAATATTTTTCAGCAGTAACAATGGCTATATATTTTTTCTCTCCGTAAAACTATGAGAAGTTGAAGAAAAATAACAAAACTACCTAATATCTCAAAGAATTCTTGCTACTTCTGCTCAAATGACCTTTGAAGTACCAAAGCTAATTTTCATTGCCTCGACTCATTTACAAGGATTCACAACTCTAAACCAAACGCAGGGTGTTTGGCTTTCTACGTAAGTTGTAACTACAATTTTCCTAGTTTTTGGACCAATTGGTGATCAGTTTCAGAAATGTTTATAACTACTTATTTTCTTTCTCGTAGAAAGATTTCTCAGAAAGGAAGGGTCAGTAACGGTTTTGCCTTTCTTTACTTTTATTCCTAAACTGAAATTCCTCTCCTTTTCAGACTACGGACGGTGTCTTTTTGAAAACGTCCTTTCTTTACTCTTCTCGCTTTAATTTTTCAACTTTTCATCATCGCTCTTCGTTAACATTCCTATTAAAAAGCATTTTGGTTACGTGACTTAGAGGAAATAAACAGATGTGTTTTTATTGCACCAATAATGAGGCTACAAATGGACGTGAAGGTGTGAACTGATAAAATTCTGCTGTGGAGGAGAAGATTTTGGTAGAAGTAAATCATAAATCTTTGTTTAAAAATTCATCTCATCGGTTCTATGGAGATATATTTTAGGAGTTTAGTTTCACTCAATTACCAGCAGACATTCTGACGATTTTCATTTATGCAACCTATCCTCTGGGGTGTTCAACTTCAATCAGTGGGAAGAAAATGAAAGGATCCTTAGAGTCAAAAGTGTTGTCCTTGTTCAGGATCCTGTAAGCGGGGCCAGTCAAGTAAGACTTTTCATTTTCCTGCGCTGTGGTTTCGTGAGGCACTCCACGAGCATCTTTCATGATTGGAACAGTGATTAGTTCTAGCTTGGCTCTCTCTGTTGACGAGGAGGAACAACCGACGTCACAACATCACTTGGAAGTTAAAAATTATACTCTGATGGTTACGATGAGAATTAAACTTTTAACGTTAAAAGCCAACTAATCAATGCTAGTCCTACAATCTCTTGGATCATTTGTCTAGTTCAGGGGTTAGAGAAGTTTGTTTAGTGTTGCCGTCCCAATCACCTGTGTTCTTAAACCATAACAGTGGCGGGTTACGCGACTTAACACGACACTTAAAGATGTTTGATAGGATCCTTTTGGCCAATAGTGCCATTTACTGCTGCTTCATTTTAGCATCAATATCTATTTGTGTGCATTATCTCACTTTGATAGACGGCAGTTCACATTCATAAAATTACACCTAAACCGTCTTGCCTCACTGTCTAATAGGTGACGTAAAACCTACCTTCATATAAAATCGGCTGTAACGGCTATTCATCGGTTAGTAAGTGCAAACTCGGTAAATCACGTAAGAACTTGATGAAGGTCAAGTTTAGATGCGAATAGTTGATCTCAGATGAACTTACCAGGTCGTATCTCTCTCGTTAGAGGTCTTCCGTTAGCAACTTTAGATGTCAGAATTATTGATATAAGAATTACATAACAAAGTATTTGCCATCTCATTTCCTTTAAAGCTAATTAGACTTCCGATAAAATTAAAGCACTCAGCTTTGCAGAGTGAAAATAGATTCACTTTGTAAATGGAGTCCAACTGATTCTTGCAGATTTTCAAAGTTGAGCTTGCGATTACGTGGTGTTGCTTGGTAACACTTACTCTTACAGGTGGTTTTCAGATGTATTTCAACTTTTTATCCATCCAGGGCACTGGTTAACATAATTATTAAAAACAAGTTGTCATTATTAATCATGGTAAAGTAGAGTGATAACAAAACATAACAGGTAGCATTGTGCAGAGAAGAATAGTAACTACAGTGGCATTTAGATGAAAAATAACAAGTAGAGTCGTACGTTGATGGACCTCTGTGCAAACACTTTACATGAACATCAATTATCGAAATGCGCCAATTACAATTGTTAAACCCTTTGCTGCTCATTATATAATTCCTACCATGATAACGACAAGAAGAATTTGTTTAAAAATCAAGAGCTCCTCATTCGTTGTCTTTGACTTCATGAACATACCTTTTAATTCAGGGCTGATATTTGATGTTAGTCACTCTAAGGATTAAATTTTTGAAGTCAGCCAATCCCAGTTTTTTGTAAGATGACGCGTAACCAGTCGACTTATTAGCTTTAGGAGTAGTCACAGGCGTCTAAATTAGCGATCAACGACGGAAGTGACTAAATCGTGAGACAAACGATAAAACTAAGCCATTGTTGTTTTTGCCATTTTGATTATCTCTGACATAAACATTATCCGAAATCTAACCACTTTAACTGGAACTCGTTGAAACATTGCAAACTCTTTGAAACATTAAGGTTTGTCATACTTAGAGCAGACCTTACGACTTCCACTTATGCTGGGGTTTTATAAGCTTTGCTGTAACCGGACTAACTTAAAACGTTTTCACCCTCACAGTACAGAGTCCCCTGGATTAAAATACAGAGATGAGAACATTACCTATATACAGAACGTTAGTAGATGCTGACAAAGGCGAAAGTGTTATCTTTCGTCATTGTCAGAGTATCTTTGTTCCCCTTCATCATCGTCATCATTATCATTCTCTTCGTGCTCACGGTCCGAATGATGAGGTAGAGGCTCATCTTGATCATCATTGTCATAGTCAGAATTATCATCTTCATCTTCATTATGATCTTCTTCCTCATCATCCATTGGATATGGAGGTCTTGGATTCATTGGTCGATAGAAAGGTAACCCCGTTCCGGTGGCTGGAAAAGGTCTAGCAAAAGGTAAATACGGATTAACACGAGGGAAAAATGACGGCTTTTGAAACATGGCTGGTTCTCGAAATGAAAGGGGCATGGGTCCAAGGGAAGGAGTTGCGATCGCATTCTGAAGACGTTGCATAAAGTTTGCCATGTCATCGTTTTGAAAATTTTGCATTTGTGGAAATTCTTGTTGGGGTACAGGTAATCGCGCTTTCAACTGAAGTTGAGCGATGCGATTTTCCAACTGGTCTTCAAGAAGCTTCCTTTGTTGTGCAAGATTGAATTCCTGCATTTGCATTCCCTCTCCTGGCAAGACTCCCATTTCTTCTTTTTCTTGCTGCATATTGCCTGTGTAAGGCATTTGTGTCATTGAATCTCTTGAGTTCAACATGTTATTCATTCCATCGTTTTCCATTTTATCCGAACTCCGCATTTTATCAGTGTCGTATAAATCGACATCTTTTCCGATGTCCGTACTTTTCATTCGTGCGATGAAGTTCAGAAGATCCAAATAATTTGCGCGCTTTGCAGAGAGATCTTCTCCTTTAGCTATGGCAGATGGGCTTCTGCTGTGATCATAACTCTCTTCTATCTCCGCCTTTAAAGTCTGGCCAAACTTTTTCTTTTTGAAATGGTGTCCTGATGATTCGTCTTTTTCATATCTTTGTTCAGCGTCGTGTGCTGCTCTAGCCTTTTTTGCAACTTTGTTCAATAACCGTAGTATTGCAGCCCGAAGTTCGACGACTGTTTTGTTTTTGGAAGCTTCTGATTTACCCTCGATATTGTATATGTTGGCTTTATCGTCCTCGCCTTCCTCCTTTGACTCTAACAGCTGTAGTTGTTCACTAGTTAGTTTTCGTTTGATAGCCTGCACATCTTTCGAATGATTTTGGTACAACTTTTTTAAAAGGTTTCGGAACTGACTACCCAATACGACTCTCTTAGCGAAGTGGACATTTTGGGGATTTTTCACTAAAACATCCTTTCTCGTTGCTGGTAGAGATATGGTCTTTGCAGCCCCGTCTAATTCTATGGAAAAATTCTTTGAACTTTTCTGTTTCAAAGATTTACTGTGTGCCACTCTCCTGGAAAGAATGATAATACAGAATTTCGGTCATGATGATAATTACCATCAGTAGAGGGGTCTAAGTGATAGATAAGATATGAGCGGAAGAGAAGTGGCTGAGCAAAATGGAAAGCGTTTTCCGCCCAATTCGCTTTATTTGTTAATTTGTTCCATTGACCGAGACAGGAGGAGAGGATGCTTTAAACATTCTCAAAAGAGTAGAAAAAGGGGAGAAAAAGTAATATTTTCAGGCATGTAAACTTTTAAATTGTATGTAGAAAATAGAAAACTGAAATTCTAAACGCAGTTAATTATGATTTGCACTAACTGACATGTCAAACTAGTAAGAGATCAATAAACTTAGTACAAATTTACAGGGCTCATCGTTATTAAAGTAACGCAGGGGAGTTGGCAATCTTTATGAAAATCAATCCTTTTGATAGTTCTACTTAGTCATAATTCATAAACCCCTGCCTTTTCCTGCTACCTTTTCAAACCCTTCCGTGCTTTCATACAGTTGATTTATATTGTGGTTTACACGGGTAAACATGTGACTCAAATACCGCCTATTCATTGGTCATTTCCCTTTTTTTTAATAGATTTTATTTAATGACCTAATTAGAAACCTAAGGTGTCAAATGGAGCTAAAGTAGTCCTCCTACTTCCTTTTTTTGACAATCTCGAGAGATTACTTTGCACCTATAAAATTATATCTATGTGCAGTAATTCCACAACTTTTTACATGCCTCCAATTTTAATTTGGCTATGAAGAAAATCTAAGCATTTTTCACTTATTAGTAGAAGTAGCATAGGGTTTGCTTCTTTTAAAATTGGAATTTAAATCATAGAATGGAAAAAGATGTTTGCTTTTGTTAGTAGAAGTTCTCTCAAAAATGCCGAAAAAAAAAGAAGAGTAGGAAAACTTGACACTGCTTACCCGATTAATATTATTTCCGTGTCATTGTTTTCGATTTTTGGCCTGGCTGTTGCACTTCCTTTCTCTTGGAATTCCGTTTTGTAAATAATTTTCTTACTTTTCAATTCTTTTTTTATCTTCGAAGGTTGTCTTCTGTGAATGTTCATGCATTCTGCAAAGGTATTTATGATATGTGTTAGTGGACTTGCTGCATGCCTTAACTACATGAAGTTAATCCCTGAGGTTTACATCCCAAAGAAGACTACAGGCTGGAGTGCAAACGTAATGTGCTATGTACATAAGCGAAAGATGATTGCAGAGTTACTTAACCCTTTATTTCAGCAAACTGCAAAGCCCCTGTTTTGACTTTTCAAACCAAAGGGTACAGAAAAAAAAACTGCAGCGAGCGTTAGGGAGAAGAATACTGGACTTTGGGCTTTCGTTCGCTTTTTTAAAACACGCTTGCTTTAACTTCAAAATATTTCCCGGCCTTCTATCCATGGGCTTGGCTCCGAATTGTTATTGGCTAGAACACAAAACCTCTTGTCAACACCAGCATGTTTGACTCGGAGTGGGGTGCTTTAGCCAATAGGCTTCGACGCCTCCACCGAGGTGGTAATGTTTTTAGGATTTTTTTGTATGGTTAGTCGGAATCCTAAATTTGAACAAGATTAACGTACCTCTTAAGTCTAAAGTACGCACACTCATCGCTGCAAACTTCGAGCGTTAAAACAAATGTTTAATGTCTTTATTTTATACTGTCTGTTGTCAACGATGTTGTAAAGAACTGGTCAGCCAAGGTTCAGTATTGACTTGAGCAATGGAAAACAAGTGAAACAACGTGCTGAGTCAAACAATAAGCTGGCTATAACAACCCTTAGGCCCTGTCAAAACTGTTTCTGACATAAGTAATTTCAAAAGATTTAAACAATGAAGTGTTTTGTTCCAATGCCACGACGAATATTCTTCATTAGGACAGGCCTGACCGGCTTACCTGAGCCTTGGGGTAAGACACAACAGAACATAATCCAACCAAATACGGCTGACTTCATTCTGTGAAAAGCTGAGTTCTTCTCCTTTAGAAATTTAACTCACATTTTTAAAACTTGGGTTCATGGCACGAGAAATCAGATATCATTTACAGCCTGTTTTTTTTCTTTCAAAAAAGTTGCAACTCATTTATAATTTAGTGAAAGACTGCGAACAGAAGAGACGGTGACCAGCACAGGTTAACTGCTGTTTTATCACAATTGAAGGCCCATCCATAATGGTTGAGGCAGAGAGCACCTGCTACATTTCTCGTTGAAATGTGACATTTAAATAAAAGACCTGCTCGGCCGAAGAACGATGCAAGAAACTCATTCGATGCCAAACTAATTACCCTAGGACTTAGTGAGATCTAAACAAGATGATCTTAAAGCTTTAGAGCGATCAATCACTAAATGTTATTGTATATATTCGGCTATTGATTGCGTAAAATGTTACGAAAATGTTTTAGTGGCTTGGATTTCTGATAGATTCTTGTGTATTTAAGTGAGTAAATGAATGCACTTTAACTAGAGAGCGATTGAACTTTCAAACCAACAATTTTAGATGATAAAAATAAAAAACACTGGATGCAGTCCTTTCACACTGTCTATGCTTGTCATTTCTCTATCAATTACCACTGACGTGTGATTGACACGTCATCCGCGTCATGACCTCAAAATGCATCATGTTAAACTCGCAAATAATCACGTTTACGTTTAGCCTTTTTATGGAGTCGCACTCTAAGAACAAATCAGATTCCAGCACCTCAATAGAGACTCGTTACAGCAAGAAAACCTTAAACGTTCTTTATGGTAAAGAAAAGCTTCCCCATAATTCTCGAGTAACTTTCTCTTTAATCGAGGGTTTTGAAATATCGGAAACTTTTGCACAATTTCTATTTATACCAAGATTTATAGGTAAATGGGCGGTGGGCAGTTAGATATATGATCGGTGCATTCTCAAAACCTTGCGGATAACTTATCTTCCATCCATTGCAAAATTTAGTTTTTGTTATGGTACGCATGCCTGTCATGTGCGTAGCTGAGTGAGTTCGCAATTTGCTTTCATTCCTTTTGGCCAAGATGGTGGCTCTGATGCTTGTTTTATTGGAATTCGGATCAGAAAAAATGCATTGCTAAACTAGCCACGTCCAAGAGAGGAAGTGGGATCGATCTTATAAGCAGCATGTACCGGTTCAATCCAATATATTAATTGTCTGGATTGCACGGCCAACAGAAAATACAGCTTAGTGAGGTTTTAATTGGCCAAGAATTTAGGTCGCCGAGAAAAGAGCTCAACCTTTGCAAGAACAGTAGAAAAAGGTCCAACTCTCGATAATGCCGGCGCTGCATGTCCTCTGGTAAACTACATCAACGATTCAAGCTGATAAGCAAAAGTGTAAACTTATTATTAAAGGGCTCTCTCAAGAAAGCAATAGGGTTTGTAACTGAGCTATAGACTCGTATTTTGGTTTTCTTGAAAAGTTTGTTTAGAGAGAAGGATTTGAAAAGAGATTTTGCGATAGCAGCGTTTACCTTTTTAGTCTATCTAGACTTGAGAGCTGGTTTAAACTACTCTGTGATGTTTTGGAATCACTCCTCTGTTATAATTATTTTCCGAAGTATACTTTAAATAAATGGATGGCTTTTAAATAGTTTGACAGCGTATTTCTCTTTCTGTTAAATCGTGCTGCACAATAATTTTTAATAAAACCCTTAATCTTAGATAACGATGATTACTTTGACAGCCGTTTAAGGTAATGGTTTTAAAGGTTTTAATGGTTTCAGTTTCTCCGTGCACTTGTTGTGGATACAATATAAAAGGCCACCAAGGCGAAGTTAAGTGTCTGCCTCTCGCTAAGCAGTGATAACGAATTTCAGCTATAACTTGCTTGTGAAATGCCTGTGAAATGCACGTGAGCGCCTAGCTGGCAGCATATGCCGTTTCTAGTTCCGCACTGATTTCGAGTTTCGAGTTTCGAATTTTTTTTTTTTACCCAATTTTTAACCCAGTTGTCCACCGACATCTTTCTTGAAATGGGTGCTGTCTACACAAGTTCCTTTTGAAAAATCTGTCGTCGTCGCCTCACTGTGCGAGCAAACTTTCTTCAACCTTATGGTGCCGCTTGACAGCTCTTGGTATATCCCGAGTCAAGCCGACACGGCGCGGCTCTCGCGGAGGACTGAGGAAATTCCGAAGAAATTCGCTGTTAAGTCGTGGAATTGAATTGTTAAGTCTTGGAATCGCCATGTCCTGTGGATTCTTCTACGGGAAAACCTATTTCCTTTGATAACCTAAGGAGAATTAGAAAGTACGACCTCCCTGGCGTGCACACCAAGCGTTGCCAGCGGTCCTTCATCCCGAGCATGTGCCGACTAGCAAACAACACTGCGTGAATATTCGATTGATCAAGCAATTGTAAAAAACGTTATTTCTACACGGCATCAATTCATTTTACATGCTCTTCCATTGAGCCGTTAATTAATTAATCAATTAACCAATAATATATCTAACTAAATTAATTATCTGTACAAGGTTTTAAAACGACTATAAAAACGGTTTCATTACTTATACTATAAAAACGATTTCATTACTTATAGCTACTTATCAATATTAATCAAATACATGACTTAAAGGAACAAAGAGTTGGCTGTAGCTTAGCGCTCAAGGGCAGGCTGTTCCATAGAACAGAACCATGTTAATGGAAACTTCGCTTACCTGCTTCAGTACTCGGTCTAGAAACGAAAAGGTTGTGTTTTGACTCCTAGATTATGCGAGTGAACACTGGATTTAGATTTTAAAAGATTGTTTAAACGAGTCGGAGCAGGGTTATGGAGAGTCTTAAACAAAATGACTGCTAGTTGCTTAGAGCGCCTCCGCTCCAAGGAATCCCAACCGAGGTCACTGAGTAGAGTGGAGGATCTAATATTTAAGTCAGTAGAGATAATTAAGCGTGCAGCCCTATTTTGTAATTTTTGGAGTCTCACAGATTGACATATACCTATGCAGCCCCATACGGAGCTGCAATAATCAAAGTAAGGTTGGACGAGAGCTTTATAAATCATAATTAGAGTCTCACGAGGAACCAAGCTTCTGACACGTCGGATAGCCCCGAGGCCAGCGGATACTTTTTTGACAATGTTGTCAATATGGGAATCCCAGACTAAGTTCTCATCCAAATCAATACCAAGATACTTGTAGGTTTTAGCTCTTTCTAAGAAATGGTCATCAGTTTTCACATCAAACTAATAGTTTAAGTTAGCCAATTTTTTATGGCTACCAAAAATAGAATATTTGGTTTTTTTGACATTTAAACTAAGTTTATTAGCTCGTCACTGCCAGGTCTTAATTTGGGCTAAGTCACTATTTAATTTGTATTGTTAAGGTAGCTCGTACCAGTTTCCTCGCGCGGGGAACAGGTCACTCTTGCGTGACGCGCGCGAGAGAAACGTGCGAAAGAAGCGCGAGATCAAAAGATGAAAATTCAAAACAAAGATGGCGGCGCGTGGAATTTTTTCTACTTTTGTGAGAAGTTTACCTAAGAGCTTGTATTTGATGTGTTGAGCGGCCACTGTGAATGCAGGAGATAGAAACTAAGATAACGAAGACGATTTTCGGAGAAGTAAAGGTTGCTTCACTTCACATTTAAAAGAAATATTCAACCGATATGAAATCTTGCGACGGCGAAAAAAGAAGAACTCAAGTGAAGGATAATCTACCTGAAGTGGAAGAAGACTTTGAAACTTCAAGGAAAATAATATGATATAGCCAGAAGTCATGTGTAGGATTTTTAAGATGAGCTCGGGAGGCTGTCTTTGACGGCTGTTTAATGATTTTCTTAGCAGTAAACGTCTGTAAACATCAGATCGTAGGTGCTCGCGCGAGCACACGCAATTGTCAGCGGTAGCTAAAACAGATCATGAGCAAATGTCGATCTTATAGAATCCAGATTTTTAAATGCGCGAGAACGCGCGTGGAAATTGCTAAACTCACGAAAGCTATTGCATGAAAACAAGTCCGGTGACCCCTTCTTTTTATTGTTCCAATATGATAATAACGTCGAAAGGAATCATCAGAAAAAAAA